ACTTGGTGGAGGGAGAAGTCTGAGCAGGTGTGCTGGATGTTCAGCCACCAGGAACACCTGGAGATTTTGTCTGGTGAAGAGCCACCCGGCAGGGGACAGAGTGCCAAACTTCGTGTTTCCCCGGTGAGGCTGGGACGGCCCCGGTGAGGTCAGGAAGGCCCCAGTGAGGCCGAACCAGCCCCAGTGAGGTTGGGATGGCCACAGTGAGGTCGAGACTGCCCTGGTGAGGTCGGGACGGTCCCAGTGAGGTTGTGACGGCCCTAGTGAGGTTGAGATGGCCCCGGAGAGGTCAGGACGGCCCCGGTGAGGTTGAAACGGCTCCGGTGAGGTTGAAATGGCCCCGGTGAGGTTGGGACGGCCCCGGTGAGGTTGAAACGGCCCCGGTGAGGTTGGGACGGCCCCGGTGAGGTTGAAACAGCCCCGGAGAGGCCAAAACGGCCCCGGTGAACTCAGAATGGCCCCAGGGAGGTTGAGATGGCCCTGGTGAGGTCGAGACAGCCTGGTGAGGTTGGGACGGGCCCGATGAGATTGAAACAGCCCCAGTGATGCCGAGAGGGCCCCGGTGAGGCCGGGACGGCTCTGGTGAGGTTGAAACAGCCCCGGTGAGGCCGAGATGGCCCCGGTGAGGTTGGGACGGCCCCCGTGAGGCTGAAACGGTTCTGGCGATGTACGGCACCAGCAAGGTCGAGATGGCCCTGGAGAGGTTGAAATGGCCCCAGTGAGGTAGGGATAGCCCTGGCGAGGTAGGGATGGCCCCAGTGCAGTCGGGACAGCCCTGGTGAGGTCAAGACAGCCCTGGTGAGGACGAAACGGCCCCGGTGATGTTGGGACGGCTCCAGTGAGGTTGGGACAGATAATGGGGACCAGTATAGACTGATGAACAGGGGTAGATGCAGAGGCAGAGCATCATTGAACAGACTGTCAAACTACAGTGGGAAGCCTGGGGAGGGTTTAAGAGATCAACTGAAGGACTTACATGCATGCATATAAGAATAACCAATGAACACAAGACACTAGGGGGTAGGAACTGGGGAAATGTCAAGGGGGAGGGGAGGAGACATGTAATACTCTTTGTAATACTTCAAGAAATAAAAATTATTAAAAAAAAAAAAAAGGATGGCCAGTGGTCCCTGGGTATTGGTGGAATGGGGGTGGGGTGCTGAGGGGTTTAGCTACAGCGCCACCTAGGGGCAGATCCAGGGCTGGGTGGCTCTCCCAAGACCTTTCTCAGACTAGGCTGGATGATTGCACCCATCCCCCACCTGGGGGAAGTTCTCATTGGGTTGGGGCTGGTGGAGAACCGGCCCTCCTGCGCTGTTTGGATTCAGTATAGGGTACGGGTGGGGTGGGAGTGGGGCGGCTTTCCAAATGAGGGTGATATCACTGATTCAAGAAGTGGAGGACTTTTAAAAATTTAACTGAGTAGTTAAAAATTTAACTGAGTACATTTAAAGATGAAATTGGCTTTATTCATCAATTCATGAATCAGGCAGCATCCCATCCAGCAAATAGAAAGAAGCTCTGAAAAGCTGTTATAATGGAAGGTGTTTATAGGCAGAAGGGAGCAGAAGGAAGGCTCTAGCAAAGAATGCATTGCTTCAGGGGAGGTCACCTTTCTTTGGAAGGGGTCTATCAAGAGGATTCCAGCCAAGGTGGTTTGGCTCAGTGGATAGAGCGTTGGCCTGTGGACTGAAGTGTCCCAGGTTGGATTCTCCTCAAGGGCACATACCTTATTGGCAGGCTCCTCCTGAGGCCCTGGACCCGGATCACGTGTGGAAGTCAACCAATGGATCTGTTTGTGTCACATCAATATTTCTTTCTCTCTCACCCTCTCCCTTCCACTCTCTAAAACTCACTGGAAAATTATCCTCGGGTGAGGATTAAAAATAAAAAAGTAAAAGTAACAAAATAAGAGGACTGGCCTTACATCCCAAAATATGGGCTTTCCCATCCCAACAAGGTGCTAGCTAAGCTTTGAAGCTAAGCTCTGTCTTTAGGGTGGAACCCCTGGAGTTCTGTTCACCGCCCCAGCACAGAGTGGGAGCGCAATCCAGACAGAGTTTATCTGTGGACACAGGTCCCAGATCCAGTGCTGGCTTCCGGACAGCCCCAGGTCCAAGCCGTGTCCTGAAAGCACTATTGGAGCTGATCTCATTAGAGGCAGGTTCTGTCATAGCCTCAGCTTCCTGGAGAGAAAACTGAGACTCTGGGACTTGCCATTCATTTGCATCACACTGCACTGAGACCCACCCTCTGCCTGATGTGGGACTGGACTGACCCTTGAGACAAGAGGCAGAGTTTGAAGCCCCTTCAACATAAATGCAAACATAAGCCAGACACTCAGAGTTTCCCCGATGCTGAAAACGCTGGCAGCATTGAGTGGACTGTCTGGGAGTAATGCAGACTGTCTGGGGGTATCAAAGAAGCGAGGACCTGGGAGTCAGACGTGCCACTCCTGTCTATTTGTATGTGCAGTTCTTTTTGTCTTCAACC